ACAGTGTAATTTTCAGCAATTTAAGCAGCAATTGGATTGAAAGTGAAACTCAATTAGCCAGTTATTGGGGTAACCAGTTTTATGAATTAATGTTGTTTCATTCATAAAACTTTGCTTATGAAGTTATGTTAATAAAGTGAACAATTAAAACCAATTTCATTGATCAGTTCTAGAGATTTAAGATACACAACTTCAGCTACATGAATAGCGTAGCTGAAGTCGACGTACTTAGATCTACTTGCCACAGTGTCTTCACTGCGGTAAGTCGACAGCTGACTATCTCCCGTTGACTCTGCTTGCGCTTCTCATTCTGGTGGAGTACCGGAGTTGACGAGAGAGCACTCAGCAGTTGATCGATTGCTGCCCGCCGATGCGGCGGGTAGTGTAAACAAGCCCTTAGTCACGACCTTGCACTCTTACCAGGATGATATTTTTGATGGTTGGTCACTACACAACATTGGCCATCTCCACCAGAGATCACCCTTTCTGTGGGAGCTTGGTCATCTTATGACACTGCTGATGATTGGTTCCATAGTTGGTATCATAGAATCATAGAATATCAGGGTTGGAAGGGACCCCAGAAGGTCATCTAGTCCAACCCCCTGCTCGAAGCAGGACCAGTTCCCAGTTAAATCATCCCAGCCAGGGCTTTGTCAAGCCTGACCTTAAAAACCTCTAAGGAAGGAGATTCTACCACCTCCCTAGGTAACGCATTCCAGTGTTTCACCACCCTCCTAGTGAAAAAGTTTTTCCTAATATCCAATCTAAACCTCCCCCACTGCAACTTGAGACCATTACTCCTCGTTCTGTCATCTGCTACCATTGAGAACAGTCTAGAGCCATCCTCTTTGGAACCCCCTTTCAGGTAGTTGAAAGCAGCTATCAAATCCCCCCTCATTCTTCTCTTTTGCAGGCTAAACAATCCCAGCTCCCTCAGCCTCTCCTCATAAGTCATGTGTTCTAGACCCCTAATCATTTTTGTTGCCCTTCGCTGGACTCTCTCCAATTTATCCACATCCTTCTTGTAGTGTGGGGCCCAAAACTGGACACAGTACTCCAGATGAGGCCTCACCAATGTCGAATAGAGGGGAACGATCACGTCCCTCGATCTGCTTGCTATGCCCCTACTTATACATCCCAAAATGCCATTGGCCTTCTTGGCAACAAGGGCACACTGCTGACTCATATCCAGCTTCTCATCCACTGTCACCCCTAGGTCCTTTTCCGCAGAACTTCCTTCTGGCCACACAGCGGCATGTCTGCCACAAACACATTATACCTGCAGATGTACTGATGCCTTTTGTCAGAGCAACAGGCAATTCATGGAACTTTCTACATTTGGAGGCCTTGATGATAGACCACCAGAGGAGGTACATTTATTTGTTCCTCTTAGATGTTGCCTTCTAGGTGACCTTTTGAGTCCATAGCTACCAATTGGCTAAAAAAAAAATCCTCATCTGGATCAAACACAGGCAACAAGACTGTAAATGAGACATAAGGATTTTGATATGATGCAATTTTTTTGTTAAATAACACAAGTCAAGATTAGAGTGCTGTATCACAGTACTACCATATTTCTGATTAACCCCAATGATAATTTTTGACAAGAATTTAAACAATTAGCTTTTCTCCCTGTGGTTTTAAAAACATTTTGGACAATACCAGTTTAGCAGCTGCTCATCCTTGGCTAAATCTGTGACCTTTGCTAGTTCCAAGAACTGCAGTGCCTTGCTGATGGTATTAATACATATTCACTGTATGCTGAACAAATCATTTCCTTCCCTGTATACTGATACCTTTCCTGATCATTATTGTTTAATTGACTGATTAATTTTAATTTCAGTTTCATTAAACAGTCTACCTTTTTCATGCGTATTATCGGCTATAAATCTTTCCTTGTTTGATTAATCTTTTATCCATTGCTGCACTGGATTGACAACCTGTCCCTGTAACACATAATGTGTCTCCTAACTTTTCAACATCCACCTGATTCCAAATTGACATGCCATTTCTAAATAACCCTGACATAGTTTTTATGATCCACAAAGGATCAGTTCCCCTTTTTTTCCCCTAGGGATACATAATTGATGCTTGGCATGGATTTCCAAATTTATAATATCCTTCATCCATTGTTGATAAGCAGTGACCTTCTCCACAAGGAGTAATGAAAAGAAAGAGGCCACTTTGGTGTCTTTCTAATAACTGAATTTACCCATATTCCACTTAACAGATTTAACACAACAGGAACATACATAAATTGAACCTGATTGATTAATACCTCTGCTATAGGTGTAACTGCCTTCCCTCCCTCCCCCACAGAGTTATTGATCAGGGGAAGATCTATTTCCAGTTTACCTAAGGTGACACGTTTACATCCAGTAGCTGATAGCTAAGGGTCACACTTTTGCCTATTAGGTCCTTTACAATGTGATAGGACTTGCTAGGAGTAGGCTCTCTTGATTGTGCTACTGGAGTAGGGGAAATGAATTGACACTTTGTGTAAGGCTAATGCAGTCCCATTACTCCAGCTTTTAAACTTCGTACTGTCCCACTGTTCATCTTGATAGTTAGTCTTCTCCAAATTCAGGTATAGCGCCACTGGGAGGTGAGATTATACTGTTCTGAGGATGTTACCAGTGCAGCACCAGGTGTTCTTACAGCGGACAGCTGTTGTCAGCTCCAGACCACAGTTACTACAATGTTAGGGTTCACACTGTCTGGAGTTTTTACCTGAAAGTACCTTTTCTTTGTTTCTACTATATGGGAGTCAAGTACTGGAGATCAAGAGTCTTCAGTCAGCTTGTTGGCTGGATACTGTGCATTCTGCAGACAAGGTGCTCCAAAGGCCTGGGCTTGCGTCAGATTAATTGTGAGGACATTAAAGCTGCTCCAGAGGACAAACAGCATTTTGCTGTGTGCTTGTTCCAACTTGGCCTCTGAGGATTTTGAATTGTTGGACACCTGCAAAGGAGAGGTCTTTTTTCCTGGTACAACTTTAATTGATTAGCATGGTAAAACTTTATTTACTTTGCGTGATTTACTAGTTACTTGAATTTTATATACAAATAAATCAGTTTAAGGTGATATGCTTTTAACCACCTGTGGTAACAACCATGCTCCTGATATTTTATATGAAAAGAGCATGACTTGGTTGCCAACTTTCCAATTTTTTTAATTTTATTAAAATTGGCCAGTTCTAACCACTACATACCAATGCATCTTGTGTATATGATTGCGCAAGAATTGCAGGTATGTATCCATTTTAATTTTCTTAATTTGGGAATCACTGGTTTGCCATAGAAGATGCTTAAATAATATTATTTCTCTTCTGACCTCTTAAAAGGTGATTGGCGAGTTGAGGCAATGGAATTTATTCTAAAAGCCATTAAGATTGTGGGAATTAAAACTTTCTCATTTGCTATTGGCGTTTACTGACTTTTAATCTGATAAATTGATCCTTTCCACAGTCCCTGAAAACTCTGGCTAATGAAGGATGGGGTCTGTTCTACCAGAGCCTCAACCACTTTTCTGCCACTGCTGTCTGAAAAAGAAATTCACTACGACTAGCAAAAACTATTTTCTGGATAGGAGATAGCGGTCCTACAAAAGTAATTTTGTTTCTTGAAGTAAGGTTTCTTGCTGCCAAATTGTTTTACAGTATTTTTATTTTCCTTTTATAGGGCTTTAAATCAAGGACTAATTCTTTGACTTTTCTTAATTGAAAAAATTGGATGGGAGTGACAGGCTGATTCACAAATGTGTTTACATTACAACCTGTTTACATTATGCCCCCTTGCACTCCCTTTTAGCTAATAATTTACCTTTATTGTTTTGGGTGTACAAAGGGTCTATTTACAAAGACCTTTTACCTTGCAAACAAAGGGGTTTGCTGGGGCAAGAGGTGAAAACGCTAATTTAAAATAAGAGTGCCATACTTGAGGGGTGAACCATTTGAGCAGGTGAACCCTCAAAACCAGTGCCCATATATCTATAGCAACATAGCTTGCTACACACCTCAAACTCTGCTACCAGAGCCATGGCCACTGCCATAGCACTAAGGAGGTATTAATGACTTAGATCACAAGGCCTTGCTGTTGCAAAAATGTAATTTGTAAAGTCAAAATGGCTGAGAATTTAAAAGTTGAACAGTAACAGATGGTGAACCTGGTGATATTCTGAACAAAGAGCTTTCAACCATGCTTGTAGTTTCCATTCTTTCACACTGACTCAACAGATAGTCTAGTCTTCAGAGTGACACACAGACAGGAGACGATCCTGGAATATTATTATATAGTTACTTTTAGATTTAATTTATATTTGATGTTTGATTTGATATCTTTAGAATGAAAATATTGAGATTAAGCAATCCTTAGTCATCTTTATAAAATGCTGAGATCTACAGATTATAAGTGTTGTATAAATAAAAAGCAGTGGTGGTTTTATATTAATTAAATACATGAATCATTAACTTTGACTGTGTTTCAAGTTCATTCTGGATCCCAGAATGTAATGAGTTTTGTGATGTTGAAATGCCAGGCGAGGCTATTCTGGTTTTTATAATTCACACACCTTGTTTGGCATGAATCATGAACCCCTGTCAAGCTTTAAGTCCAAGTTCTCACCTCTAAATCAGATCCTAGAGGGAAGACATAGGAAGGTGCTTCCAGCTCTAGATGATCTCGTAGACTGGGTACTCTGAAGAAACTATTCTCCATCTACTCTAGGGGGAAATTGAAGGATATCTTCTAGCTCGGCCAGTATTTCAGCCCTTTTTAAATATTGAGCTTTGAATGTAAAAGCTAAACAGCCTTAGTTTATTCTGTAGGAAATCAACTTTACAAGAAAACAGGTAGCTTTAAATTACAGATTTTGGGGATTTCTTTTTCTTTTTTCAGATGAGTAGAAAATACAGTATTGAACATTATTCTAAGTACTTCAACAAATGCTTTTCTTGTTTGCTGGTTATATTACATCATTAGCTATTTGATTCTGTTTTTCAGGATGTTGGCTAAGGCTGAGTTGGTGGCCATACTTCAAAAATGTGTGGAGATTTTTACATCATCTTCTGGAAAACAGTTTAGTAACACGGTAGAGAAACTGGGGGAGTTCCTGACACGGTTTCAAAATCTGGAAGGTGAGCATGTAACATACTACCAAAGTGTCTGTCATCAATCTGCTATAAAATGGCGTCAGAGAATTTACATTAGAGAGAGAGAGAACAACTCTGATGTCTCATGGTATTTTGAGATCAAATCCAGAAAGTTCTCCACATAAGAATACCAAATGCTTTACAGCTTTCAACAATATTTCTTGAATAAGTCAAAAGCTTGAAAAATTAATAGTAGCAAATTCCTTTACATATCCATTTGGGCTCATTACCATGCCAGCTAATAAAAATGTGCAAATTAAGTCACAGCCAGATCCAAATAAGAGATGGATTGTTCAGGTCAGGGTGGCCTGATTGCAGTAGTAATGGCCAGTGGCAACCTGTAGAGTTCAACAGTGCAGCCCAAAAGGAAAAAGAAAAGGTCCTATATTAACAGCCTCTTTGTAACCGCAGCACAGGGACAGCATAGAGTATAGCCAATCTCAAGCATTCAAAAATCATGAGTGGCTTAAAAATTGAGATTTTAAAAAAAATATTAATACATTTGGACTTTTTGTTTTGTTTGTTTGCCTTTAGTTTGAGCCTTCGGTACACTCCCCATGTTTTCAGGCTTTTGTCTGCAACTATGAGGGCTAGAAGCTTACTTCCTTATTTGTAAATGAAAGCTGACATTATCCCATAATAGTTGTCTTCAGGAACTGAGGCTTTAAGAAAGACTGCCAAGATCACAAGAGTAATGATAAAATTGCAGGATTTGGCAACACTGAAAATAGGCAGCACATCTACAGTCTTCCCTGTGCTCATTAATGTACCTCACCCTGATTTTGACAAACCACTTCTAGTGTGAAGGGGCAGTGTAGTCTCCGTGCTTATTGAATCTTTGGCTTTTGTTGATACTGTGATGATGGATTTTAAGATGTTGACACCTGTCCACTAAAATTGGATTGCAACTACCAACTCATTTCATGTAACCCACCAAACAGCTATCATACTTCACCACTGACCTGAACCAGACTTAAACCTGTGACCTACAGGGAACAACCCCCATAAGCAATGCAAGTAACCTAACAGTCTGTTGCTTTGAATATTATTAGTTCTTACTGTGATAGGAATTGTTTGTTTTAAAATGAATCAAAATTGAGACTTAACCCACCACCAAATAATCAGGATTTTTTAAAGCAAAGCTGCTAGTTATTGATGCAATTATTGATATACAAACTACAGGGTTCTGAAAGCAAAATTCAGGCATAGGTTAAAATTAAGATAAAACTGGGTCAGTCAAATGCTTCAGTATGTTCTATTTTTCACTTTGCTCTCACTTCAATAAATCCAGGTTACGGCGTTTGGGAATGGCAGAAAAGAACCTATTTTCTCTTTAAAAATTTTGCATGGGAAAAATGTAAATTTATAATGTAAGGAGTTTTAAAAGCTCATTAAGTGGCTGCTTCACTGAGATCAGTGGAGCTTTGGCAATTTATACTTGTTGAAGATGTGGTCCAGAAGTTTAAGGTGAAATATAAGTGGTGCGTAGGCCTTGTGCTGGCCCTCTGCACAGGAATGAATTTTCTGTTTTTGAATAACTATTTACAATGTAAATTACACAGTGAAGTGTTACTGACCTTTGCTTCCCAGGAGAAAAATCTAATAGCTAACTGGACTTGGGTCCTCATCCGACATGAAAGAGTACCATTGACCCTGTCTCACTTTGGCCTGGGTCAGCGGGTTTCTGTAGATATTAGAAAAAGTTTACCCCGTGTGTTGAACACTGGTTTTGTTCCAGTAGCAGAAGCCAATGAGGCACAAGATGTGTGTGTGTCATCACAAAAGGAACTCCAGAAGAAGATGGACCTCTATCATCTTCAGAAGGTCAGGCCAATTTTACTTTCTCCAAACTAGTTTCAAGATTTATTTTTTTCGAGGTTTTAATTATTCTTGGTTAGATCTGCCCTGCACACCATAGCTGTGAGCAAATAATGTTCTGTGAGTCACTTGAAAATTTAACATCCTACCCAACCTAAATGTCAGATAAGAAGCCACAGGCTTGAAGAATTTCCCTGACTCCTATCTTTCTGACTAAACATACTGGCCTTGATTAAAAAAAAAAAAATAGCCTGCAGCACCACAGTCCCATGCATATTTAACTTCCATTGGCATGTGTTGACAGTCCTCCCCTAAGTAGATTTCCCCACACAAAGAATACATCACTTTTTTACAGTTTTATACCACACCTCCTTCCCCGTCCCCCACCTATCAATCAATTCTCATCCTAACCTTCTACCTCTTTGTAGAGCTTCCTTGCAGATGCTACTGTTGCTTTCCTTAGCATGCAGAGAGCTTCAGCCTCCAGGTTTCTTCTCCTACATCTGGATTTTCTGCTCCCTGTTCTACCCCTTTCTTCTTCTTAGAGGAGAAGCAGCTCAGGGGTTTCTCATCTCCTTCCACCCCATTCTTAAAAAAAAGAGTTAGTAGCATCTGACTGGCTCTGCCTACCTCTTCTCTTCCCCCTGTCCCTACCCCCTGATGAAAGGGCAAGCAGCCCTGCAAGGAAGGAGCCAGAAGCTCTCCAGCCTTACTCTGACTAAAATTTCTAGTTGCCCTAGGCAAGTTGGTTTTTCAAGCCTGGTATCAGTCTGTGAAAACCAGGTATGTATGAAGTGCAACTATGATGTGTTCTAATGTATAGTTCAACATCTCTCTACACCATTATTTTGTTGTAGCTAAATTGGTACATCAATACCTATGTTAGCTCTTAAGGTGCTTTTATTTGTATTTTTAAGGGCAGATGTTGAGTCAGACTTCATTGCATCTAACAAATTCATATAATAATGCCAGTTAGCATTTTGATAGCACCTTGCACCATGCATCTGAGAATTTTACAGACTTTTAATCTGCACATCCTCCCTGTGAGATAGGTACATATTATTATCCACATTTTATGGATGTGGAAACTGAGGCCCTGGAAGGCTAAGTGACTTGTTCAAAGTTGCACAGCAAATCAGAAGCAGAGCTGGGGCAAGAATCCAAATTCCCTATGTCTCAGTCCCTGGCTCCGTCCAAGAGACAACTCTCCCTTTCCTTTTTATAACTCCATAATGTATGTTAATTTTAGGAATGGAGAAAAAGCAATCTGAAATTTTCTTGTCCTAGCCTTAGGGCACTAATTTCAGAGTTTAGTGTTAGATTCAGATTAGTGTTAGCTCTGTCTTAGTAAAACAGACTCTCGCAATGAAAACATTTATTTCCATTCTTAAGCAGGCAGATACTTGTATGCTATTTTACAAAAGGTATATGAACAGGGAACACAGTACTGTCAGTCTAACTTTATTTCTGTTTAGATTAATATGTGTTACCTAGGAGAGCCATGGCAATCATTTTTCATGTCTTGCTTTCTAAAATGCAATAATCCTGTCAGCATCACTCTAGATGAAAAGGATTTGCCATCCAAAGTGACTGGGCTGTGCATTTTCTGTCTTTTTTTAATAGACTTTGCTGGAGTTGAAAGAATCAAAAAGATCTAAGAAACTAACGAAGTTTGAAATGCTCAGATTTGAAGTTGTTGACTTTATAGACAGCCTGGTAAGGTGAGCTTTCCTGTTCTTTGGACCCTTTAATAGTTGATACAGTTTCATAAGATGCCATACAAAAATATACACATGCACACGCACACAGAACAACAGTTTACCAAACAGTTCAGACTTGGGAGAAACCGCTGTCAAAATCACAGCGGTAGTCCTGCAATATGAGACATGTCCTCCCCACTCTTTTTTAATTCTGTGAAATGTTGCTGTTGGGTATCCTTGCAGCCATCTGTGTCTGGATGAGGGCTCTGAAAATGCCTGTTTTCCATGCTGTAAGGAGTCTGAAACACAAATTGTACAACTCATTCCTGCTGCTGCAGAAGATGAAGAAAAATATGGCAGTTGACAAGACAAGATCAAAATGGCCCACACCATAATTAGTATTGGTCTATCCATTATTTCTCTTCCGCATTGTATAGGCTAGGGTTGTGATATGCATTTCAATTTTGGTTAATGCAAGGCATGGCAGATGGGCTCGTGGAGACAGTTCCAAGTGTAAGCATTCACAAGGAAGTCAGTATGGAGACAAGGGTTGGAGAAGGATATGAAGGCAGCTGTTAGTTGTGCATCTTCAGTAGATGGAAGGATCAAAAGTGTGGAGCAAAAAGGGACTAGGGCAGAGAAGTTGGCAGGAGCTAGATTGTACAGAGCTACGTAGACCAAGACAAGGAGCTTGAATTTGAAAACAAAAGTGAGAGGAAGCCAGTGAAGGGGTTGAAAGATTGGATGGGTGGTGTAGGAGTAATGAGTAAGGCAGATGACTGGTGTCTGCATTCTGGGTATTGCCTGCATTGTTGGGTGAATTTTTCCCGATGTAGGTAGGATTCTAATTAAGAAATGTTTGAAGTGGGAGGCTGAGTTGATAATTCCTGAAATTCTCATTTTATTAGAAGTTGTTTCTAGGTATTGGGGTATCTTATTTTTCAGAGGTTTTCTGCCCATGCCTGTTGTGAAATGCACATTCTTGCTATCCCTGTGAAAGCTTAGCTCTCAGTGTGGTTTCGTAATGTCCCTTCAGTTAAAGAGCTGTCTTTTTCATACAACCCTTGTTGTTCTTTTAGAAGTTACCTTGCTCCTGCAGAGATGCAGACCCTGAACGAGGTGGTGTATTTCCACACTGCTAACACCCTCCGTGAGCACTTGAATGCTGCACCACGGATTGCTCTTCACACAGCTCTGAACAACCCCTATTGCTACCTGAAAGTAAGAAATGGACAACTGTGTAACTTGTTCATAGTTGTGTGTAATTCGTGCACGGTCTATGTGAGGCTAATGTGTGTATTTTAATTTTGCTATTTCATAACATTTGGCACACAGTAGGGTCTGTCACAAGGAACTAGCAAGTGGCTCTTTATGAAGCAGCTGGGGAACTGGCTGAGAGCCAGAGAATCTGCCTGACTCAGGAGAAAGCTGATGCTGCTTCATTAAGACTTTTGGGTGGGAAGGCAGTTTCCAGAGCCTCATTTTTAACAGCCTTCTCTACAGAGATAAGCAGAAAGACTTTCTCACCCTCCACTTTGATTGGATGACCCAATGTCCCTGACAGGAGAGTCCTCCAGTTACCAAACCTGGTAGACCCTGTTCATTTTACAAATATAGTGTTTTGTCCTGTGTCTTTGTAAACTCATGTAGATTGGCTACCTGATGGAGCTGCTGAAATTGAGGACAGACTGACTGTATACAAAAGTATCTAAAAGACTCCCTCCTCCTCATGCCCATTACATAGTGATGCCCTACCCCTTCTTGTTCCAGACCTGCAGTGATCCACACATCACCTTCCCATGAGCTCTTGAACTAAACCAGCCCCCCTGCACATAGAGTCAAATCCACAGGGTGTCAGGGAAGGAGAAGGGGTAGGTGGGAGAGAGGCTCCTTGGTTGAGGAGAGGCAGGAGTGGGCATTCTTTTCTCTTTCCCACTCTCATGCACAGTTCCCTGATGCTCACCCAAACCATCCCCATGTCCCAGTTTTTCCCGTTAAAAATGTGGCCATTATGTGGAAAAATAAGATTATTGACATTCATGGATGTTTGCATGCTTGCTGCCTGAGACGGATGAGCAGGAACCAAACTGGATAAGTGTTTGAATTCTGTGATCCAGTCTGTGTTGGGTTTTTTTGTCTGTGTGCTTATTTATAAGAACACACCTTTACAATTTTATCTTGTTACAAAAACACAAAAGACTAAGATTAGGAGAGCCAGCTAAATCCAGTTTCTAATGTGCTTAATGAATAGTCTCTTAATTGAATTTACAGAAATGTAAAAGACCTAGATCTTTATCTTTACACATTTGTTCTTTGCATTTTTGATGCATTTCCTGTGCTTGTTGGGTATCTAACTCAGTGTCCAGTAGGAGTACTGGCTGTGGCAGTGCATTACTACTATTTTAATCTGTTTGAACTGAAGATATAATTTCTCCAACTGTGTATAAATCCTGCAGAGTTTGTACTTTCATGGGCTACAACCAGAGCAAAATTTCTCTGATAAACATCTAGCTATCCAGAGCTGTTCCTACCAAAAAGGTTCAGGCAGGAAAGAATCTGCCACTGTAAAGTACCAGCAAGTGGTTAATGATATGATGCCATTTCTCATGGGACTCTAACCGAGCTTCTCTTTCAGCAAAATGGGAACTGGATTGGTATTTAGCCTGACAAAAACGTGTAAAAAAGAATTGTAATTCTTCTTTGAGTGCTTGCTCATGTCCATTTCATTGTACATATGTGTGCTTGCCACATGCACCGGTGCCAGAAGTTTTTCTCTCAGTGGTATCTGTAGGGGACCGGCTCTGGCGCCCTCTGGAGTGGCACGCCTATGCACCGGTATAAGGGGCTCCACCCAACCCCCAGTTCCTTCTTACTGCCAGTGACAGTGCTGAAATGTCTTCTTGTCTCGGCAAGCTTGCTCCTCTCAACTAGTTGATAGAAATTTTGTTAGTTTTATAGTTCCCTTAGTGTTAGGGTTACTAACCCTCCACGATTGTCCTGGAGTATCCAGGAATTAAAGCTTAATCTTTAATTAAAGATTATGTCATCTGATGAAACCTCCAGGAATACGTCCAACCAAAGTTGGCAACCCTGCTTAGTGTAGACTTAGTTTTAGTCCTGAATGGGACTTAGCCTAGGGACGGGGCATGCCCCAGTCCCCAAGCTTCAAACCTTGTGACTGTTGCAAGAAACTCATGCCAGTCAGTGATCCCCATAGAAGCTGTTTGAATTGCTTAAGGGAAATCCACGTTAGCGACAAGAATCACACAAGCATGAGACAGGTGTCTCACAAGCAAGAGCTTCAGATTGCAGACCAGAAAGGAGTGGGACATTCATCTCCAAGCACTCCTTATGGAGTTGGGCCTTACACCGGCATCAGAGCCGACCAGGTCAGACTCCGCTCCTAGCATTCTGGCGTTAGTGCAGAGCGTTCCAACGTCACCGGTCTTAGACCAGCACCGATGCCCATCCCCAGTTCCAGCTAAAAAAGCAAAAAAAGGCTGGGAGGGGATGTTCTCCTATGTCCCATAAAGGGGAAGGAGAGGGCCAGAGGAGAGCAAGGACACGCGAGGGGCAGCTCTTCGCTTCTAGACAAAGGTTGGGCTCCGACTCCCATGAGTGGTTAAGCCTACTCCAAGACCCACCTGCCACCCCGGGGAGCATCAGAGGCACTCAGCACCTGGCGGTGCCATCCACACTGCCTCAGAGGGCCTCGTTTGAGGGATCAATCTGCCTTGGGACCTTTCCAACGGTCCCCATCAGTGCAGCACTGCTTCTCGCCATAGGGGATGTCCCGTCAGCACTCGCCTGAGCAGCACCACCAGCCCATGGACGCAAGTTGGCTTGCCTGCTAGAGTTCCCAGCATCAGTCTTGGAAACCAGGCAGCGTTCCTTGGGCTCGAGGCGGTGATCACCAGTGGGCTGGCGCAGAGGTGCGGCACCAGTCCCCAGAGCCCTGGTGCCAGGAGCACCCAAGTCGTTCTCCCAGCTCATGACACCGCTCTGGAGGGTCGAGACACCTGTCCTTGGAGCCCCATCGCCGGAACGCCAGTACAGTTCACTGCAAACGTGTCAATGGTCTCTGACACATGGGTCTACTTACTCACATTCCTGCTCCTGCTCAACAGAACGGCATCGCTCGCTAAACATAAGGCGTCAATCACCAGGGTACCGTCGCCGATCTACCAAACGCCATCACCAGGATTGCAGCACTGAGCGTCATCGCCCTCGTACAGATCCTCAGCGGAAGTCCAGGACCAGAGCCGATGGGATCGGGGTAGACAGGCAGTCTCGGCACCGTCCTGGTCCCCCAGGCATGTATCCCCATCCTCAGGCTCCGAGAAAATCCTACTCATGGGCCAGGGCCACCCATTCCCTGCTGGGCCACAAGTAGCAACATGGCCCCAGGGCCAGTGGCCTGGCCCCTGGCAACTCTGGAATCCCTGGGGATTTCCCCAACCATCGCAGGTGCATAGGTCGGCCTCAGGGGCATCCGACAAATGGTCGGCAACAGTCTACCTCCCTCCCCCAACTCTGATGCGGAGTCAGAGTGGGCTCCGCAGGTTCAGCCAAACTTGGCTGAGGCTCCCATGGCAGAAGTGGTGGAGTTGGTTGACCCACCTGTACCTGCCTCCTCGTCATCTTCACATGATGAGGCGATAGCAGGGCCCTCTCACCTGGTTCCCCAGGACCATGCCAAGGCTCACCAGGAGCATACATGCCCCACTCTAGAGTGCGCCAGACCCAGTCCCATATGGATACCACTGAGGGAAAAACTTCCAGCACCAGTGTATGGGGCAAACACGCACACCTACAATGGAATGGACATGAGCAATACATCTTGAAGAACAACAGTTACGAAACGGTAACCTTCTTTTCTGTGCTGATGGATTGCTTGGAAACCCAGCTACTGGCAATTCAAAATACCACAGCTAGGAACTGCTTGGCCTTGTGTCAGTGCAATATGGGGAATCTGAGCCCAAAATATCCCTGGGGCTTAGAGAATCATGAAGGCATCATGTCTGATCTTGCAGAAAGGGAGAGTTTCACACAAACTTGAGTAATAATTCCCATCTCACCAGGATATTTGGAGCAGCAAAAAAAGAAAAAAAAAATCCATAAGCTGCATTTAGCTCTCCTTTTTTGGAGGGAGGGATACTTTGACTCAAGACCCTTGATAAGGGAATAAATAGAGATCCTGAAAAACTTATTTTTCCTCCATCTGCTCCCCTCAAAAGAGCACAGCCAGGTTTTTAACTTGTTCCTGAGTATCTGTTTATGTTCCTTACTTGGAAGCAGCGCTAGTTGTCAATTAAATGTAATGTTGGTGTTTAAGGTCCTCCTTTTCATTAATGATTGCATTCTAGAACAACTTCCTGCTTATCAGTCTTAGTATGTAGTTATTTCCTGGCAGAGACAGCTTATCTGCTGTTACCTCAGGAAGCTGAGGTTTCCATGAGCACTGCTGCAGCTCCCTCAGGGCATGCTATAAAGACCTGGCCTTAACATCATAAGCAAACTGTCATTCTCCAAACTCAGGCATAGATCATGCATTGCTGATCAATAGTATTCTCCCTGGATTAGTTCCTTGTTTCCTATGTACGGTCCAAATGCCTGCACTATAGAAGTTGGGACTTGCCCTGTTTTACACAGCTGTTTGATTTCAACCAAATCAAAGTGGTCTTACTGGTTGGTAAAATGGTAACATAGGGAATGAATTACATTATTTTCATGAATTGCAGACTGGCTCACCAATGATACAGTACAATTTATCAATCTAGACATGAGCTGCATTAGTTAATAGTCACACTATTTAGATTGAAACCATCTGTACTGAACTGTCATGTAAATTGACGTAATACCGAATACCTTCAATTTCTGTCGTCTTTGCATAGTGTAATTGAATCTGAAAATCTGTTAGACTGAATTTCTGAAAACTCTATAAGGGAACTTCCCATAGGCACTGGGATTGCTGATCCCAATCATGAAGCTAAAGCTTACAAACTGGAAGAATCAGTTGTAAAAGGCAAATTTAGAAATTTAATGAACAGGAAATGAAGGTAATTGCTTGCCTCATCTTTTCTCTGTATTGAAAACCTTTGCTTATGATGGTGTCCTTGGTTAGGCATCTTTTAAACTTATTTTCTAACTGACCTGTTATGCAACCAAATGTTGAAGTATGGGTTTTAGACCCGTTATTAGCTGCTGATAGCAGCAGAATC